TCTTCAGAGCTTAGCTTGCTCCTCGGTGCTGGTTGATTTTACCTGTCGTTCTCTCCTGCTACCTCCCTGCCCTCCCATTCTGAAGGAACATCCAGGAGACACTGGCATTCTCTCCAGCAGGAAGAACGAAGGGGCGATGGACCACATGGTGGTGGTTTTTTCATCCAGGAGAAAGCACTACCCCCTGCCGCCCTCTGCTGTTCAAATAGACCCGGGTCCTCAGCAGCTCTTCCCCACGTGGTCTATGCCAGGCCCGTCCTCTGGCCTTTGGTCTCCCAGAGAGAGAGCATGTGCATTTCACATAAAGAGTGTCACCTTTCCCCACGACCACATCCGTCTTGGGTTCCAGTTCTCCCCCCTTTCCCGTCTGCCACTCTGCACGACCCCCCCAGACTGTTCTGAAGGAAGGGAAGCATTCGGTTTCAAGAAACAGGGCAGCTTACGATGAGCCCTTCAGGTCCCAGCCTGACACCTCAGGTCCCTTCACACATGAGCAGTGATCGTTAGACAAGGCGGTCAGGAGGCCAGTGTCCTTATCTGCTAATTGTGTGACCTCCATGAATTTGCTTCAACAAATACTTGACCTCCTGCTATGTGCAAAATGCTCTGTTAAGCAGCATAACAAGTGGTACAGGGACATGTACAAGGGTGGTCATCTTTAAAGGACTCACAGCTTCGTGGGGCAGTAACTGCGGGGAAGATGCTAGGATAGATGGGCACGTGGTCAGGGCTATGGGAGGAGCATGGAGGAGGGAAGAGCACTACTGGCTGAGTCTCCACACGGGCCGGCGATGAAGTCAGAGCAAGTCACATTCCAAGTAACGGGAATAGGAAAACGCCCAAGTTCGTGCAAGGCATTTTCTCCCCTCTCCTCCCCCGAGTTAGGATCCCACCCCTTTACATTTCCCTGGCTCTGACAAATATGTGCCCGGCTCTGAGGCATTAACACTCAACAAAACACGGTCCTTGCCCGCCTGGGCCCTGAAGTCCGTCCGTAGGGAGCCATAGACCAATACAGAGGCTCCTACACTACAGCGTGAGAGGCAGTCACAGCCCTCCTCCAGTCCACGTTCGGATCTGCTTCCACGTAGAAAGAAGAAACATGACAAGGAATCTTCTGTGGACACAACCCAGAGTCAAAGTTCACGAAATCATGAGCATGGGTTTGCCCAGGCTCCTGGTCCTTGCTGGAGGAGTTTAACGAGGAGGACTGGGTAGAGATGGGCTGGAGAGCAAAGGTGAGCAGGTAGGCCTTTGGCATCAGTGACTAACTTTCACAACACTTTTCCCAAAACCCTGCCTCTGCACGGAACGCTGTGGCGGAAGGAGCGGTCAGGGCCAGTCCTCTGCACCGTCTCCTGGATCTTACATGAACTTCCCTGTCTCGTCTGGAAACGGAAGTATATGACCCCTGTGCGGCACTTCCTCCCTGGGGGCAGGCGGGGGGGGGGCAGCAATGAAGGAGGCTGTGAGTAGCCTGTGCCGACTCCAGAAGGCTGCACAAGTCAGTGCCATCGTCACCATTCCCAGCAGTACCTGGGCCAGCCTCGTGCAGCGCAATCAGGACAGGTGCCTCCCCCCAGCCCTTGTAGATAGAGAACCTGCAATAAAGCCTATTGGCCACCTTTCTCTCCAACCTCCCCACTGAAGCCTGCACCCAGGCCGGGAGGATCTGCTTTCTAACCAGTGCGCGTGTTTAATAACGTACTTACCGCAGTTGGCGTTGTGACGAGAACGAGAAAGAAGGCGAGAAGTCCTCTAAGCAGTAGTGGGGGTGCTGTCTTATAAAAGTGCTGCACAGTGCCTGGTGTGAACCCCACGTACAATTTTATAACCTGGGAACGGCCACTCATCTCTCCCACTGGTCATCTGTGTCCTCTCAGAGGCCCCTGCGTGGACTCCCTGTCTTGCTCCTTGTGGATTCCCATCGGGATGGGAAAGACAGGCCACTGAGCAAAGTTGGCCACATTCCCAAATTGTTTTTACCGGAGTCCTTCTGATGGAGTGGGGGTGGGACAGGGTGAGGGCCGTGCTTCATGCTTGTGGAAGGCTGGTCAGTAACACCAGCCAGGCCCCACCCGGCCACTGAACCCATGTCATTTAATTCCATAGACTCAACAGCGGATTCCCAAGGAAGGCAGCGAGCATGTCTGCCTTCCTCCCTGCCGGACACCACCACCTGACCAAGGGTCAGCTCACAAAAACCCTCATCAGTGAATGAATCCTCACACCCAACACCATTCCAGGTGGGCATTATTGTCCCCAAGTCACAGACACAACCGAGGCCCGAGCTGCTTTAAGAATGCTTCCAAGGCAGGAGAGCTGATCTGGCTTAGGGTCTGGGTTCTTTGCGTTCTGTCTGCTCAGAGTTCACAACCCCTCGTGCCCAGATACCTCCTCTCTCAGAGGCTACCGGTTTTGTTGCTTTTTAATCACTTCCCAAAAAGTTTGCCTGCCACCTGTGTTTGAAAACAGGCTCTGGTAAATTGCAATATACCAGAAGGGATTATTTTATGGACCATTTGGCCCTATTTCCAGATCCTATTTGTGAACCAGTCCTCAATTCTCAGGAGAACTGAAATGAGAACAAAGATCAAACACTCATTCGGCCAACATGCATTCAATGCCCGGTGTGCAGCAGACCCCACGCTTGGGCCTGAGGTACAAGGGGAATGACGAGTGGCTCCTGTCCTTGAAGAGCCTACAGTCAATGGCTCTGGCTGCGCCTTTTCTCCTTGAAAGAAAAGTTATTAAGAAGTGAGACATTCTGACTGAAGAATATTTGGAAAGGCTGGGTAAGAAGAGAAAGAAAAGTATCACCCAAATCCAGGCAACATTCTCCAAATCCTGAGGGCAGGGCCTACGGCCCACACCTCCGTGTCCACGAAACCTCACGCCGGCCCAGAAGAGACGGCGAATGTTGTTCGAATGCGGGGAAAGCCGCCCTTTATCCCATCCTGAGAAAACCACTGGGGACTTCAGATGATATTCTCAGTCTCTTGTTCTTTGGCTGTGAAATGGCTGGTTCGGATGTTGTTCTCTTTGCCTCAACCTAAGCCAGGCGGGTAAATGCATGGCCTCCTTAGCACCCCCAACAAATGATGGGGGCGCTGCCCCCCATGGTTAGGGGCAGTCCCCTACATGTCTCCTCACATAGCAGAGTCTCTTAGACGTAGGGAAGGCAGAAGCTTTTACCCACACACACCCCTACCCCCCACATACCCCTACCCCCACCCTAACCCACCCCACCCCACCCCACCTCAGGAGAGCCTCAGGGGCAGGAAGTGCTTTCTCTGAGAGCAGTTCCCTTGAATTGAGGGAACTTTCCGGAGCTCTCAAACCGGGCTGCATGTTGATGCACCTGAAGCAGCTTTCAGAGCTCCTGCTGCCTGTATCCCCCCAACACACACACTAATTAAAACAGAATCTCTGGGCATGAGGCCCTGGCATCGGTCTTTTTTTGTTTTCCAAGATGTCCAAGTCAAAGATTGAGAACCAACAATTAAAGGGAGGCCAGACAGTGGTGTGAGTGGCCTCTCGAGACCAGCAGAGGGCGCTGCAGTGGCCAGTCGTGGGCCGTTCAGCCCAGGCCTGGCATCGCAGGCCTGCTGGGCAGTCTGCTTCCTGAAAACCTGGGTAACATCCTAGGCATCGGGTCTGCAGAGGGGAACCCAGAGAAGGAAGCGCATCTCTGTTCCCAAGGGCATCCGGCTGCCTGTGTAGGGAGGAGCACACAGAAGCCATGTTCCCCTCCGATGTACATACAGGGCGCTAAGTGTGAACGCCCCAGGGCTGTTTGTACGGCACATCAGCTTTCCGGCTTCACTATGAAGGAAAGAAGAGTTTGCAAGATAAGTTATTAGAGCTAAGCCACTGCCACAATAGGCTGCTTAGCAGAAGAGGGATGATCAGAATGAGATCATCTGTATTTAAAGTCATTGAAGACTTGTTCTTGTCAAGCATAGTGCTAAGCACTTGACATAAATTATTTTTCATAATACTTTGCACGAAGCATTACTTATTCCCATTTTATAGTAGATGAAATCGATGCTAATAAATTTCAAGTAATTAGCATGAAATCACATTAAATAGAAGAGATGAGCCCAGCCTCTCTGACTCTGAAGGCCCTGTTTGGGTCCCCCTGCCAGGCGTGATGACCTGGACTTGCTTGGTTAGAGGTCATACAAAGATGGGAGAGAAATCGAGGCTTCCACCCCCTGAGGAAAGGTAATTTTTCCTCATGGCGAGGCTGGAAGGTGTGTCTTTCTGAGAAGACCCGTGTTGTCACGAGGCAGTCAGCGTGGGATGTGCCAAGAGCTCCCTTGGTGCCTCTGCCAACTGGCCCTGGCACCAGACAAGTCTAGTCGGCCCAAGTCTCCGTTTTCTCCCCTCTGCAGCCAAAGGGCTCAAACCATTAGGTCAGTGGCTCTTGAGTTGCCCTATGGAGGCCTGGGATGCAGGAGGCTGTGCTGGGGACAAGAGGGATGGGCATGTAGCTGCTTGGGGAGACGTTTCCCTGCTTGGGGGGACGGGTCCGTTTGGAAGGAAACCACTAGGTTTGTGGTTAGTGGTTCATGCCATTGACCCTTCCAATTGGATAAATGTCAGGTCCTCTGTTTTTGAAAATTCATGATTCTGGAAAGAATCGATGCCATCACAATACGTGAGTGGGTGCCGAACAGGGTGGGCAGGGGGGGCACACACGTGGCAGGGAGAAGAGCAACTGAGGCGGTGGAAAAGAAAGGCCTGCTGTGGCCAGCACAGCCCCGCCTGCGCCCAGGGCACCCGGAGGAATGCGACCGACCAGAGTAGACGGGAGAGTAAGCCAGGGCCCTTCGTCGTCACTGTGATGGAGACACGGTCACGAACCACAGAGGCGGGGCTCTGGGCTTGCTCCCTCCCCCTAACCTGTGCTTCTTTTTACTCAATAGGGTAAAAGTCTCCGTTCTCTTATACTGGGTTAGGACTTCAGCAATTCTCTGTTTCTTTTTGTTTTTCAGATCTTAAATCCAAATTTCATCCAAGAAGGTGAGTTTAAAAAGTGGTAGAATTGAGAGCACGGGGATTGGCTCAGTCATTTATGCAAACCCAGCACAGAAATGGAGCCTTTAAACCAGTGGTTCTCAACCTTGGCTGCACATTAGAATCACCTGGGAATCTTTTTAAAATCCTGATTTCTGGGCCTCATCCTCTGGAAATTCTGTTTCTTTGTTACTAATGTTGTGGCCCCGCCCCATAACAAAGAAACAGAATTTCCGGAGAATGAGGCCCAGGAATCAGGATTTTTAAAAGATTCCCAGGTGATTCTAATGTGCAGCCAAGAGAAGACAACGTTTAAAAAAATTGGGGGGCGGCTGGGTTTAAAAGAGGGGAACCCCCGGTTTTTTACGAACCTCGTTTTTTTTGGCCAAGCCCCCCGGGGCCGGGTGGGGGAATGGGATTCAAGATTGGGAAAAACACG